CCCTCCCCACCCCCCTCCCCGCTGCACCTCCTCCACATACTCGCGCTGCACTTTGATCCTTGGGGGACAGGTTAGGTGTGAAACTGTCCCTTGGCCTGGCTGTGGGCCCATACCTGGGTTTCCTGAAGACCAAGATGGTGAGGCATCGGGGGCCAGGACTCTGGAGTCAGGCGGCAGGGGCTTGGGTTTCAGCTCAGCTACTTCCATCTGGGCAACCCTCAGGCAAGGGTCTCTGCCCCCTCTCGGCTCCAGCTGTAAAATAATAGGTCCTTCTTCAGACAGTTGTATGGGGAGCACTCAGCACACCTCCTGCACATGTAAGCACACAATAAACACCAGCTATAACATTAATATAACAAATGCTAATAATGTGAACCATAGTTAAGAGAAATGTCTGGTATCCACTCAGCGTTTCCCCCCTGCTTTTTAGAGAACTCTGTTGAAGGGCTCAGGCTCTTCAAAGGAAACAAAAAGCTGGTGCTTTGCAGCGTGTGGGGTGCTGGCAGGCCTTGCTCGTGGGGTTTCCTTTTGTTTTGTTGAGGGTGGGGGTCTGGGCCCTCGGCTGCCCTCACGCCTAAGTCAGGGAGTGGGCTGGCCACCCAGGTTCTCTCTAAGGAGAGGGAGCAGTTAGATGTCAGGGCCTGAGTCTGCTGCATTGGGGGGGTGGGGAAGAAGATTGCATTAGGGGAGCCTGGCAGAGGTGCCACGAGGGACGGTCACTGAGGACAGTAGGGGCCGCGCATCACAAGCCCTGCCTCCTCCTAGCTGAGTGCACTTGGGCAAGACCCTAGACTTCCTGGGGCTCGGCGGTGTTAGGGGAAACAGATGGTGGCTGTGGATCTACCTGCCACCCTTTCTTTTCCCGTCACTGTGAGACTCAACCCAGGGATCACCTGAGCAGTGCGTGGTCAGCTGCTGAGCGGATTACAGGTGTGAAGAGGGGGGATTTATTTCTCACAATTGCTGTGGTGGATGGAAGGATTTATGACTGAGGAAGATTCAGAGCTTCCATTTTTAGGCAGCAGAAATAACCTTGTCTCTAGAAAATAAATGGCCAGCGTGTTCTTTGGGCATGCCTGGCCTCTGCCATTTTGAACAAAAGGCATGTGTGATTTTTCTCAGGGGGGTTTCCTGCATCTGCTTGGGTCCTCCCCCCCCCCCCC